CAAGTTTGCGCTGCGGACCGCCGAGGCTGTGTTGGAGGTTGGCGGGGAGGCGGGCAGGGAAGTGGCCGAATGCAGACGCGTCGAGACGGTGGATTTCTTCCTCGACGATAAGGGGTTCGAGGCCGGGAAGAAGGAGGTGGAGGAGTTGAGGCGGTGGGTGCCCGAGGTTGAGATTGCGGTGCTGGGGAGGGAGGGGACGAAGGCGAAGTTTGGGGTCGAGGGGGGTCATGTTGCGGGCGGGTTGGTGTATGGCGCCGGCGCGCTATGGCCGTATCGGCTTGTTGCGAAGATTTGGAAAGAGTTGGTTGATGAGTTTGGGGGCACGTTGAGCTTGGAGATGAATACGCCTGTTGAGGAGGTCGTGGTTGATGGTGACGGGGGCGGGAGGCCGTATATCGTTAGGACGGCGAGGGGGGCGATCAGGGCGAGGCATGTGGTTCATGCTACGAATGCGCATGCGGGACAGTTTTTGCCTGGGTTGAGGGGGAAGATGGCGGGTGTGAAGGCTCATATGACTGCCCAGCGACCCTCGACGACGACAACCTCCGGGCAGAGTACTCAACAAGGAGAAGGAGGAGGCTTCCAGTGGCCGGATAACAGTCGCGCCGGAAGCAAATCATGGAGCATCGTCTATGGCAACGGCGCCTTCGACTACGTCACGCAGCGGCCTAACGGGGATGTGATGCTCGGTGGCGGGTTCGCGCGGAGCGCGGGCGAGGGGGTGGACATGGTTGGCGTGTACGACGATTCCGGGACGGATGGAATGACGATTGCGCATGTGTCTGGGGTCATGAGTGCCGTGTTTGGGGCTAGGTGGAGGGGAGATGTGGTGAGGGTTTGGAGTGGTGTTTTAGGTGTGACGGGGGATATGGCGCCTTTTGTTGGGCGGGTCCCCGCGAGTGTTGCGGGAGTTAAGGGGAAGGTTGGCTCTTCTGCTTCTTCTTCGTCTACGTCTGCATCTTCTTGGTTTGGGTTGAAGAAGGAGAGGGAAAGTGTCAAAGTGAAGAAGGTTGAGAAGACGGTTGATGACATGGAGGAGGAACAGCCGTGGATGGGGGCCGAGGCTGGACAGTGGGTTAGTGCTGGGTATTGTGGTGATGGTATGGTCTGGGCTTGGCTTTGCGGGTCCGCGTTGGGGGTCATGGTTGCGGGCAAGGAGGATGTTGTGCTGGAGAAGGGGGTTGGATTCCCTGGTGGTAGGTTGGCGGAGTGGTTTCCCAAGGAGTTGTTGCTTACGGAGGCGAGGTTGAGGAAGGCTGATCTGAGTAATTTGGTGGATGAGATATAATGTGATGTATAGTGATGACAGATGATTGCGGTTAGGAATATGGCTAATCTTAACGTTTTCTCCACCTATTGGACACAACCAAGGCCACTACGGTCCATAAAAAAAGTGACAAAAGGGAGACTCGAACTGGCAAAATGGCAGACTATAGTGCCTCTGCAAGACGCTGGGTGCAGAGGGCTTAGATAGATTTCAGTTTGCGATCTATGGACGAAGACGTCGCACGCTAGACCACTTGGCCAGAGTGCAGTTGCTCGCCCACCCCGACAGACACTTCAACTTTGCTCGGCTATAGATGGTATGGGCTTTGGGCTCAAGGTTAGAAGCAACCTTGATGAGTTACTTGTTGGTGTGGCGTTGGCTAGTATCAAGCTCATGTTACCTTGACATCCTGTATAAAAGGTATCTGGCCGCCAGGCTGTCTCAAACTATCCGGAAAGTCACTCCCGACCTTATGGTACAGGCTGTTTCTCTGGTTTTTACTATCATACAAAGTTCCTGAGCTCATTCAAGACTGAGATCAAGAGTCTCCTGACTGTATTTGAAGGAAAACCATCAGTACCGCCGCGTATCTATATTCACGTTAGCCATGGAACTTTTATTGGGAGGCAGATGTTATCGTACGCTGCAGTTGCACCCAGTGCTTCGAAAGGTTTTGCAACCATAGCCAAGGAAAGAACTAAGAGGAAGACAAAGATGAAAACCGTGATGACTGCGAGTTTAGCCTTGAGATCTGTCAAGGCCTGGAGGATCCATATGGGCGTGATGAGCATCAGAACTCCGATGGCGATGATAACGGCTGAGGCGAAGCTGTCCATCCGTTTGTCAGAATAGAAAGTGACTTCCTTCTTATCGTAAGTCGCAGCCCTTTCTTCTCCATGTCTCCATATACTAAGCGTTCGTAGACGGAGGGATCCATCAATAACTTGACGTAACGGAGTCTTCTCTCTCGCTGCCACCGCTACGAGGTCCTTCTCATGACTCAGATACCTCTGCTCATCCTCTGAAATAGCTCTATAGTCATGGTTGTGATGCCAATTACGAAGACTTTTCACGTCTCGCCGTGGTGCTGTGGACAACTTCCGGAGTGTATGTTGTTGTATCAAGAACTCATCTAGGTAGGAACTGTCAGCCAACCCCGAATTATATTAGACGAAGAGTGACAGGTTATGGTATCGTACTATATTCCCTCAGCTTCGCCGATATTATTCTTACTAAATCAGAACGCTCTGACACATCTTGTCTCAGCGTGCCGTTATTGAAATCATCCGCGGCTTTTGCACTGAATTCATTGTCTAGAACTCCTAGCTCTTCCTCAAGCCACGACAACTCATCCTGAAGTGCCAACGCTGCGCGAACATTCAGTGAGTCGAATCTGCGAAGTACGAAGAAGTCATCATCCGAGGAGATGAAATTAGTGTAGCCTTTGTAGCCGATGTACTTCCACGGCTTTTCTTGAATCTCCTCTTCGGTGGGCTCTTCTTTACGTGCGGACGAGAACACTGACCCTTGAGGAACATGCTGGATTGGCGGCTGCGTCGGCATTGTTGAAAAGGTGTGCTTGACTGTTGCTAAATCTCCAAGATAGAAAACCTCGACGGCAAATATTCGAGTTACATGTGCCGAAACAAGCTAGAGGTATGGGAAGGTGACCCAAAGCTGGACGCCAAGGCATACTCGGACATCTACCTGCGCGTTGGTTCTTAGGTACGTAGGTACATGTTGGTCACCTCGCTACCCTCCCATTCGTGAGGTTCCTAAAATACTTGGAATATGTGAGAAAAGAGACAAGGCAGACACTCAATGCATTAGTTTCGTAAGGCATCCAGGAGGCTGACGGTCGTGGCCAGCTTGTAGCCAGTCATTTGCCAGATGGAAAAGGGGCCTATGGATGTAACACTGGCGATTGGCTGCTTTCTAGATCGAAATGAAACAAACCTCACAGCCTCAAGCGCATACATGCAGAGCGGCATGCCCTAGGTAATGCAGCAGATTACCGCCAGACAAAGCATACTCTGCGAAGTTCCTTCTTCATAAACTTGCGGTTTGCCTCTCACTATTGATCGGTCTTGGGCACCTATCGCAGGAATATGACAATCTCTACTTGGAAGTTCCAGTGATACCAGATCATCCTCAACCCCCGTTCTAGTCAGTCAATTCGTGCCTTTCATTCGCAGTGCCTTTGAGAGATGAGTCGGAGCAGTGGACAAGGACAAGTAACGGGCTTTCCGTTATTCTTTCAGGCTCTTCTCACGTGGTCGCAGGCGTCATACGCGAGCTCAACGGCATCCGATTGGGATGAAATTCGATTTGTGCCCACTGCTGCGACTGTCCAACAAAAACAACCAAGCCGTGTTGTAGCCGCACCTGCATCAACCACAGAAGACTACAACCCGTCCAACGTCTCAATATCCTCACGAAACCCCGGCCGGATTTTCGTCCTATCAGGCTGGCTGTTCAAGACAAAAAGCCGTTCGTTGTGTAGAATGTGGCTCCTTGGACGAAGTCGACAATCATCACTGGGGAACTGCTATATGTTGCACAGAACGAACGGAATGCCATCGATGCCATCGATGCCACCAGTGCCACCAGTGCCGCCAAACAACATCTGGCGCGCCTTGAGGTCTATGAAGTCATTCTCCACTCTGTCTCAAGATCACAGATTCCCACTCGAGCTTGAGTTACGACTTGTGTCTTTGCCAGGGTCAATGACGACAAGCTGGCAATTGTTGAGTCATTACGAACTGTATAGCACAAATGACTGTAAGTTACGAGAAATGGCGAAATTATGGGGTCCGATATATAAGGTGTAGGCGATGCTCTGGCTCGGTTGACATTCGAGGATAAGGTGGCGAAGATCGGGTGATGATGTATCTTTCTTATGCAATAGCTTTCATTCATGTTGTCTTCCACATTTTCAATCGATATATTTCTTTGGCCATGGTGAGCGGGCAAGAGACTCCTGGCATTTCTGATCTGCGACAAGAAAAACGAGGAGTTGCGATCTCAGTGTTTTTGAGCCTCTGCTAACCCATGATCAACAACACCAGCAACAGGTACAAGCATCCAGGGGCAAGGGCCCCCAGAGGCCCACTTGCGACAGCCTAAACCTGGAAGCGCACGCGACGTTGCTGAACCGTGGAGCTCCTCTTCCCGGGGGGTGTTACCTTGGGTACTTACAGTAGGTTGTTTGGTTGTTCAGCTTTCGGGGTCCGCCCACCCTGCTGCGGGGTAGCTAAAGACAATGTGACAATGACGTCCCCAGTAAAGGCAAAGCTTCCCGTTCGAATATTTCCCCCCTCCTTCCTCCGCTGGCGTCCGCATCGTGGGTCCTTTTTTTCAACCTGCAGAGAAGCAATAGCGCCCTTCGTTCGGTGTTTGAATCACCTCATTCCCAAACTGGACCTTCAGCCCATTTTTTCTTCCCTCTCTTCTTCATCGGCCCGGTCGCCCACTTCAAATCCCGTCCTTCCTCCGCGGGAAACTGCATTGTTATCTAAATACCTCTAATACACCGCTTCAGCTGAGCTGACTCACAGTACAAGGTATCCATACAGCTCGGATATCATCGCTTCAAGCATTCTCGCTGGGTCTCGTTCATTAAGGACTCTAACCGAGCATCTTGCACTTACATCTCACCACTTACAACCATCACCATCACCAACATCACCAACCTCACACACCCGCAAAACCACACCCCATACAAACCGCTAAAATGCCTCCAATCCGCCTCGCAACAGCATCCCCCGCAACAGCAGCAACAACATCCCAAACCCTCTCTGACATCTCCGCCCTCGCGTCCCGTGCCTCCTCCTCCGGCGCAGACCTCCTCCTCCTCCCCGAAGCCTACCTGGGCGCAGGCTACCCCCGCGGCGCCTCCTTCGGCTCCAAAATCGGCTCCCGCGCCCCCGAGGGCCGCGACGAGTTCCTCGCCTACTTCAACGCCGCCGTCGACCTCGGCGACACCGTCGGCGACGCGGGCGCCGGCGGCGGCGACAAGTGGGTCAAGAAACAGCTCCCCGCGCAGCACGCCGCCGGTGCCAAGGTCGAGAGGGGCGACGGCTCGAGAGAGGAGCTGGAGAAGATTGCCGCGCAGACGGGCGTTTTTTTGGTCGTCGGGTGCATTGAGCGCGCCGGCGGGAGCTTGTACTGCTCCGTCGTCTACGTCTGTCCCAAGCTGGGTATGATTGGGAAGAGACGCAAAGTGATGCCCGTAGGTTCCCCTCCCCCTTCTCTTCGATATAGTACTATCGTGTTTAACACCATCCAAAAGACCGCAACAGAACGTCTCATCTGGGCCCAAGGCTCCCCCGCGACCCTCCGCGCCGTCTCCACCACAATCAAGGGCGTCCGCATCAACCTCGCCGCCGCAATCTGCTGGGAGAGCTACATGCCCCTCCTCCGCCAGTCCCTCTACGCCCAAAACATCAACCTCTACCTCGCCCCCACCGCAGACGGCCGCGACACCTGGCTTCCCCTCATGCGCACCGTCGCCTGCGAGGGCCGCTGCTTCGTCGTCTCGTCCAACATGGCCGCCAGGCCCCTGACCACCACCTCGTCATCACCAGCAACGACCACGACAACGGCGGCGGCGGCAGCAGCATCAGACAACGACAGCGGCATCGAAGACGCCCCAGACGCCCAAATCTATCCCCCTCGCGCCCGCCGCAACTCGTGCCTCACAGAAGACGGCAACGAAATCGCCCTTCCCGGCGCCAGCAACGGCACCAGCACAAACGGCACAAACAAGACAACAACAAAGGCCACGACCTCGACGAAACCGGCCCTCGAATCCAAAGACTGGGTCTCCCGCGGCGGGTCCTCCATCGTCGGCCCCTTTGGCGACGTTCTCGCCGGACCGCAGTGGGAGGACGACGAGGGCATCATCTACGCCGACGTTGACTTTGAAGACTGCATTCGCGGACGCTTGGACATTGACGTCGGGGGAAGCTACTCGCGCAACGACTCCTTCAAGTTTTCCGTCGAGGGACTGGACCTGGATCCCCTGCCGTATTAAAACAATGCTAGTCCAGCTGTAAGTACTTATCAAGACTGGCATATAAGTAATCACCAAACTTGATTATTGGGTAATCACTGGCAAAAACCAAGAAAGTACGATAATCAGACCTCGTTCGTAATGCATGTATTCCCGTCAATGCTTAACTCACGGCTAGCTGGCTGCGTATGAGCCCCGTGAGGGTAATATCCATGAAACCGCCCCCAATCCCAAGTACCGAACCATCCCAGTCCCCCTCCCATGATGCCAGCCAAACACCCAAGCCCCAGACTCATTAATGCGAGAAAATGGTCGTGAATAGTGATGGAATATTGTATTTAGCGCTCCTCGTCGTCCTTGGCCCGATTCGTACCGTCGCTCCTGTCTTCCGTTCCGCTCTTTTCCGAGGTCTCTCTCGGACTAGTCAACGGACTGGTCACGCCGCCGATGCTCCCGCTGATGCTGTCAGACCGGCTGTGGCCCAGCAGCCCGCTCCGAACGCTCGCTCCGTCCCCAGTGCCGCTCTGCTTCGCATAAAAGCTGTTTCGGTCGCCCGGTATGGCGGGAGCGACACCAGTGGCCGAGTATATACTAGTGCGTTCGGCGTTGGCTATACGCGAGCTGCTTTGGTGAAGCCCCGGGGTTGTCGGCATTCCCGCACCCTGTTCGATGTTGGCGCTTAGGACGCTCAGAGGAAGGCTCTCCCGGCTACCGCCCCAGAGGGAGGAAGGGGCCAGGGCACGGACAGAGGCATCGGTATCGAGTGAGCGACGGCGACGACGTTGCGATGAGGACGCTAGGGTGATGATGGATGCGTTGTCGGTAAGCAGGTTGTTGGCCGTAGCCGTTGTGTATGTTTGGGGGTTGCCAGAGGCCGACCCCGCAGGCGCAAGATGGGCGGGGATGGCAGATGCGGGCGGTGCTGTTGGGAATGGTTGGTTGAAATGGATGGATTGGGTGTGACCCTGGTGCGATGTGTGGTTGCCGTTGTTGGTCGGGTTCGTTGGCACATGGGTGCCGCCGTTGTTTGGCGTCATGGACTGGATTGTGGTCAAGGTGGTCGTCAATGACCGCACTGACGGTGCTGGGGATGAAAATGTGCTGTCTCCCCCTCTGCGAGACTCGACGCCTCCAATGGTTCGACTCGTCCCTGCTACGGATGGAGCGCCGTGGGACGGGGCGACTAGGGAATGAGCGCTATCGTGATCAGTCGAAATCGTGGGGGCCATGGATCTTGCGCCGGCGGTGGGTGGGGCGCGACCATCGTCGGAGGACATTCGAGAAGACATGCGAGAGGATCGTTCAATCGAGGTTGCGCTCCCGCTCAGAGCGGTTGAGAATGAATAGGAACTGGTTTCGACGTCGACATCGGCATGGCTAGCGGAGCCTACTCGGCCTGATTGAGGATAGGGGTTGTTGTTCTTGGAGGCTCGCATCTTTGCGTGGAGTTTGGCCTGTTGGCGCTTGGAGCTGGGAAGGCGAACGCCGCCTCCATCGCTAGAGGATGAGCTTTTGAAGTTGGTGAGCTTCTTGACCCATGTGGAGAAGGGACGGCGGCGGCCAGCACGATCGGGACGATCTACTATGTTGTCAGTTTATTGTGCGGTTGAGGCGACTGACCACACGGCATGGGCTGGAGCTGCCGAAGGATTGCGCCTTGGGCAGACGGCAGCCGCAGCGAAAAAGCAGATGCGGACAGAAAGGTAGGTTATAATTACCGTGCGGCTGCAGCGCGGCCTCGGTTGTAGCCATTCGGTCGCCTTGCAGGGTTGGTTTTGTCGCAGGAGATTATCTGCCGGAAGTGGTTGCAAAAGGGGTATCACTGGAAGAAGTCGAGTGGTGAGATACGGCGAAAGATGAGGCGGTAGATGGAAGTCGGGGCGTAGGACTCGAGTTGGAGAAACGAGCGGGCGTTCGAAAGAGCGTGCAGGAGGGGGTAAGGAGAAGCGTCAGTCGACGGGAGAGTCGGGTTTTCGGGAATGAAATGGATGAGTCGGGAAGGTTGAAGGAATGTGAGCAAAATGCGGTGGTCGAAGATCGAGATGGGAGGAAGGTATGCGGTGTACGGTGTGTCGGGGTGAGAGTGGTGGTTATGTCGAAATTGAGAATGGGAGGAGCGAGAGCAAAGAATGAGATTGAGAATGGAAATGGAAATGGGAATGGAAATGGGACTGGAAACGGAATACTGAAAGTGGGATGGGAAAGAGTCCAAGGCAATGAATGCAAATGGCAGCGGCAGCGGTAGCAAAAGCGGTAGCGGCAGTGAGGTAAGGTACCCAACAGTGGCAGCTTACCTAGGTACCCTGCCTACGATTATTCGACGTTGCTGGCGCTGGTCGCTGGTCGCTGGCCCAAGTCACCAAGTCACTTTGGTTCCATGCAAAGCCCATCTCAGGGTAAAAGAGGGAACCCAAGGTACCTACCTATCCGTATCCTACTCCCTGACCTCACATACCTCTGTAGGTACTTAAGGTATTGCGAAAGGACCAGAACGGATTTGAATCATGAGGGACCAAGGCGTGGAACTGAGTGGGCCACAATCGCAAAGCCCCAGCCCAGACGCCCCAGGCGCTGCCCATTGTCGCTGCCCAGCCCGGCCTATCTTTTCTTACAACATGCCCGTCGTACGTTGTATGGTCTCTTTCAGCTTCCCCTTCTTTCATCTACATTAAGGTCAGGTATCTGACTAAGGTAAGCACAATACTCCAAGTCGCCGTCGACCTAGAGATACTCGTACATCTCTATCAATCCTACCAGTGCTCGGACGACATACGGAGTGCCCTTCCTTTCAATGTTGGATACGACCACACGACAACACCAGAACCGGGGAGGGTGGCACCCAACATCCAGCCCACCTCACCTTACGCAACCACGCACCTACGGCAAGGTCCACGTCCCGCCTGCGCCGCCCTACGGTCGATCAGCAACATATCAGTGGTCCACGGCCGAAGCCATCTCGGAGACTCTGAGACCTTGGGGGTCGCTCTCGCCCATCTCCACTGCCCCCGGTAGTCTGCGTCTGTCAACTGCCCGCTAGCTTGGAAGCACCCAACGAGCCTCCGGAACTGGCACAACTTACTTTTGTCACTTTTGTTCGAATAGCTTCTGAGGCGGCATCTGGGCCAAGGTAGAGAAACCCCAGCCTTTGTCAGCTTGATGGTGGAGGACAGTGTGATCCAAACAAGCGCAACGCGATCAAGCCAAGGTACAACGTTAACCCAGCCCTGGAATTGACGAAATTGGACCACCTGGTGCTATCCGTCCCGACCCAAGCGGAGACTCTCGCCTTCCCAGGACTCCATTCTTCCGATCATCAATGTCTTTCAAAGAGCTCGACTGGGATCACTGCAAGGTCCCCCGGAAGCGTGGACCCTTAAATCCCATCGAAAACACTGCCAATTGGTGCGAGCTTCATTAATTGCTTACGCATACTTATACTTGTTGCTGATTGCTGCAAATCGACCCATCGGGTCGCATTATGTCATCATCATCTGTGCAGTCACTGCGGTGGGCATTCACCAGCCACGCACAACAGCTGCTGTATCCATACCTAATTCCATCTAATGTGTGATGTCACATTCTCGATAATTTCGCACGCTCTTTACTTTCTCGAATCTACCTGCCTTAATTCTTATATGCCGCTGGATGGTAGACTTTCTCAGCACGTTTTTCGAGACGCGATAGAAAGCTCAAGAGATCACACCAACTTGAGACAGAATTGGTGTGTTCGTATCTCCGACATGCATCCCATCCTCGTGGCTACCCTTTCGACGTTGCGAACAAGGAAGACAGGGGTCACATGTAAGACAATCAATATTACACAAGAACCATCAGCCACTTTGCTCCTCAACATCAGACGGCAGCTTGAGCTTTCGTACTCCGGATTGATTCTGGATCCCCGCACTTTCGTGGTCCCTTGATCTGCCCTAGCCGTTCAATACCAATATACCTTCGAGCACACTTCAGTCATAAGAGCGAAGCCCTCTGCAACCATGTTCAGAATCTTGCGGCGCCATACGGATATCCAAGCTGGCAATCGCCATCCAGCATTGAACGTCTCTTACCATAGGGTCATACTCAGCCCCATTCCCAACCACCCTCAGCAACCGTTCGCAACTTCCCAGGCCGTTCCAAAGCTCTCAGCTCACTTGTCCGACACTTGCCAAATCTAGCGCTCAAACTGAAACTCAAAACACTCACATGGCGCCTTCTTGGTGTGCTTGGAAGCAGGGGCAGCCACACCTGAGGGCGTTAGGTTTTCGGCGAACAGAAATGACCGCGTCCGCTATTACCTGAGGTGTCTTATCTAATCAACACACAATCTCTTACCTTATCGTGTGTTATCGCTTATCGCCATTCCTGGCGTCGCCTTCCTCATTCACTGCACGAGCTCCGGCCTGAGACCAGTGGAAGTTGTCATCGTTGGTTGAATCCACTACTCAGTCGTAGGCAATTGCCATGGCCGTGTAAATCAGCAACTGCACACATCCATGCACATACGCAGCCATCCCCGGTGGCTCATCCTGACGCGTCTCGACATGGCGCCTTGATTTCCCAACAGCCATCATGTCCATTAAGCCCTTGCCAGAGGACGTCACCCGCCGCATCAGGTCCTCAGCCACAGTTACGTCTCTCAACGGCGTCGCATGCGCTCTCGTCAAGAATTCCCTCGATGCCGAGGCCACAAGGGTCAACGTTACTATCGACTACTCTCGTGGCAATTGCACGGTTGAGGACGACGGGCTAGGCATTCTACCTGTTGAATTCCAAGAGCATGGAGGACTGGCCAAACAGCATCGTGAGCTACATGAACTCATCTTAGTGCGCACTTGCTAAAACATCTTCAGATACATCAAGGCTCTCGCCCGAGACAGACTGCCACGGTGTCAACGGCAACTTTCTAGCCTCTGTTGCCGCTCTGTCTCTGCTCTCCGTCACCTCCCACCACCATCTCTACAACTCGCAAAACTCAGTCACCATTCACAACTCAAAGGTCTTGGCACGCAACATCCCTGCCCTACCGGAGCAACGCCTAGTGACCTTCAGCCATGGAACCCGCGTCACCGTTAGAGACTTGTTCGGCTCCATGGCCGTCAGAGTTAAGCAGAGAGCTGCATCCTCAGAGAAAGTCGCAGTGGACAAGGATTGGGGCCGATTACTTCATGACCTCACTGCTCTGTTGCTAGCCTGGCCTTCGAGTGTTGCTCTCTTCGTCCGAGACAGTGTCAACAACAACGAGACACGCTTCAGGCCTAACACAACACCCAAGTCGGACATGGTAGCTCGTTCATCACGCACTCTGACACAATCAGGTCTTGTGGACGGCTTGGGCCAAATAGTCTGGACTTCCATCGGCGCATCTGTTGGGAAGTTGACCATCGCAGGGTGCATAGCGCTGAAGCCCGTCGCCACACGTCGAGCTCAGTTCATTAGCTTTGGTATCCATCCCGTGTCTAATGAGTACGGGACCAATGTTCTGTACAACGAGGTCAATCGTGTGTTTGTCAACTCCGGCTTTGCCATAGAGGAGGACGTGGATGTCCGAAGCGATTCGACCGGTGTCGTTCTCCCACATCCGCAGGGAAATTCAACAAAAATTACCAAGCTGAGGCGAGGCTTGGATCGGTGGCCAATATTCTACTTTCGAATCAGCTCTTCGTCCCGTGCACGCCCTCTCGTAGCTTCATCTTTCGAAGACCTCCTCGAAGAACGTAACCACACCCTCGCCAACATGATTGACCTGCTCAAGCTTGTCTGTTACGAGTTCTTGAAGAAGCATCATTTCCGTCCTCACAAAGTCACTACCTCGCTCCAGGGTTCTTCTAGTGGCAAGCATCAAGAACACGATTCTCGGGAAGGGAGACGCAGAGACAGCAGCCGGTCGCGGACGGTCTCGTCAACGACCAGTCGATCAAATTCGGCTACCCCGCTATCGAGGCCAGAGTCTCCTTTCGATCTCTGGCAACGAGTCAAAATGGGAAGAACATCGGCAGGCACCTCGAAATCGGGAGCATCAACTCCTCTGTCCTCGGAAGTCGCTCTAGGAGCCACGATCAGGCCCACTGCGGGACAAGAGCCAGGCGAGGACATCACGAAAGCTCAGCCTAGTTTGCGGTACCTCGACGAGTCCGGAAATCTGCTGCGGAAGCCCTTTGATGACTTGTTGCCGAAGTCGTCGTTGTCAAAGGAGGTCGAACCCGGCAATCGTTCCAGCGCTACAAGTGAGGCTGCTGGTCAAAATCAACTTTCTACGCGACCATCATTCGAGGTAGAGGAAAGTCAGTCGAAGTCATCTTCGGCAAAGCCCAACGACAAGGACGCAGTACGAGGCCACGTCAACTTGCTTCCTTCTTCTTCCCAATTCTTCAAGCCACGGGATGGCCTAAAACCTCAACCGCCGAGCGATAGGCTCAGGGGTATTCTTTCGAAATGGGAGAGTCCCGTTTTTCAGCCCGTCGACCCCCCCGTACCTCAACTGGATGGTACACAGGGAGGACCAAAACAAGGTCTGATTCAGTCCCTAGACCTTGACACCACTAGATGTTCACACGGGGCCCACACGTCGAATATCAAGCTCTCTGGCCGAGTCTCCAAGGCTGCTTTGATGGAAGCAGAAGTCGTCTCCCAGGTTGATAATAAGTTCATTCTGGTGAAACTCAGACGAGATCTGATTTCTGCCGGAAATCTGCCAGGCGCCCAAACGAATTCTGTACTAGTCTTGATTGATCAACACGCCGCAGACGAGAGATGCCGACTCGAGTCACTGATGCGGGACTATTTTTACGTTGCGAATCGTCCGAAAGAGGTGCTTTCACAGACGGAGGCTCTCGAAAAGCCCTTACAATTCGAGTTCTCGTCCAAGGAATGCAGACTGCTGCGCAAATACGCCCACCATCTACGTCGATGGGGAGTTTTCTTCGATATTGATGAACCGGAGCCGACAGCTTGGCGGCACAGGAGTAGGCAGCTCCCCAAGGTGGACGTGTTCAGCCTGCCACCAAGCATTCTTGAGCGGTGCAGATCAGAGCCAAAATTGGTCGCAGACCTTCTTCGGCACGAAATATGGAGAGCCGAGGAAGACGGCAGCCCAGCTTCCAGGCCCTTCAGTTTTGCTGCTGGAGGTAGCAGTCAAGAGATCGACTGGGTATCGAACTTTCACGGATGTCCCCAAGGGATCATTGACCTGCTTAATTCGAGATCCTGCCGCAGTAAGATTGAATTTCCAGCTTTGTGAGAAGTCGTGACGCTAACTCGAGTAGGTGCCATCATGTTCAACGACGTCCTGTCCAGGGACCAATGCGAGGCTCTTGTTCGCAGGCTTAGTCGGTGCTCGTTCCCATTTCAATGCGCACACGGACGACCCTCCATGGTGCCATTGGTGGATATGAGAAGCTTGGGTGCGAAGAAGGAGACGCCTCTGGACAGCTTTGGGAGCTGTCTGAGGCAGTCTGGTATGTCAAAATAGAGGTTCTCCTGCGATAACTGGCGCTATGGATAATAGTCATTTGAGAACTAAGATACCCCCAAGCGAGTGTTTACCAAACGAAGAAGGCATTGCCCATGGTTGAATGGTGCCAATGGGTCTCAAGCGAAGTTAGGATGCCATTCCTGCCAAAGCGAAATGCGTGCTCATTGCTCTAGACTTTTGTTATCGGAGAGATTCATGGCTCTTTTTTGCAAGTCTTGTAGATTTTGCTCACTTTTTCATTTGTGATTGATACATTTCTGTATTCCTTTGAAGATTTGTATGGATATTTTAGAGGTATGAACTTATTTCGGTGCTCATGACGAGCTTGTTACCCAGGCGCTTGGAAATTCATATCACCAAGGCAGATCCCAAGGCGGATATAGTGAATTAAATTGGGGGGATTACTTGGGGCCGAATAACGCCGCCAGAGTTTAGACCAGATCCAGCTGGGCCGGAAAGTTGCTCAGCTCAGCCTTACAAGCACCGTCCATACTTTGTGAATATCGGGTATTTAGTTCGAGCTAGCCCCCGCGAAAACCCCAGTTCGAGGACCTCGTCACATCTTCCAA